CCCCCCCCCCCCCCCCAATAAAAAACGTACCTTCTCTAACGGCCTCACAAGTTATACCTTTTACGCTACAGGTCAAACACGCTCCATCACTTCACACATTACTTGTAACACTAAAAATGTGATCTACATGGTTCAATGTAACCGTTGTAATTTACAATATATAGGTGAAACTAAGCGACGTCTCAAGGACAGATTTAACGAACACAGACGTGCAGTCGACAAAACTAACATTAAATCTAAACCCACTACTGTTTCTGAACACTTTCTCTCTCACTCTAACTATTCTCATACTGACATGCAGTTAATCCCACTAGAGAAAATTCATTCTTCACGTGACTTAGTTCGTAAGGCCAGGGAGTCGCATTTGATAGATAAGGCCATGACTCTTGAACCTCATGGCCTAAACCGCCGTGACGAATTATTGTAATCCATATCCTTAGTATTTTTCCTTCCTGCAGTTTTTATGTTGTCCGTCATTTCCGCCTCTCCCTTTTATTGCGACATTCTCCATTTATATAATATTGTGATTGCTACATAAGTTCAATAACATCTGTAAACCTGAAGAAGGCTGGTATGGCCAGCCGAAATATTGTTATAAAAAACAATATACGTTGTTTTAAATCAGCTTTGCAGTAGTCTTTGGACTTCTTGTTCTTACTAGTCCATATGTTTGCAAGTTTTTCTTTTTCTTTTTTTAGTTTGCAGTTTTATGATCGTTATAAATCCTTCTAGTTACTGGCTACCCCTAAACGCCACAAGGTAAACAGCATCATGGAAATTTCTTGGATTTAACAAAGCTGTATAATGACACCATTAAAAATATCGCATAGGAAATTTGAGACAAAAGAAGGCCCTTATGCGTGATTGCGTCAGACGTGCAAATTTCACAACCAAGCCTCGTTTGAAAGCAAAATTCTCCGCATTTGCACTCTTTATGCGTGGGTATTCTTTTCAGCTGTACTGCCCTGGGAATTCATTTATGCAAAACTTCGCAACTTTATATTTTGAAAACGAGACTTGGTGGTGAGATTTACTCGTTTGACGTAAACATGCATAAGGGCTATTCTATTTGCAAGCCAGCTGGGTAACTGCTGAATACCCCGCCACTCTGTACCACCATTGTTTTCGTTGGTCGGCGTTCTTTGAAGAATGAAGCATAACACAATAGATGCTATTCTTATTCAATGACATGCAAATAAGTGGCAGGGTATTCTGCAGTTAAGCCGCCAGCTGTTTACGTAATATTAAACCTTCATTCAAACGTGAACGAGCGTCATCAATACCGTCCAATAAGAAGTTTAACGACTCACATGCTGTGCATCCTTCGATCGATGTTGGATGAAGTTCGACAAAGATATTGAGCCTGTTCAAACAATGACCTTTTAGTTTATTAATAATACATTTTAAGGCTGGTTTTCACTAGCGACGGAGTCGGAGTCGGAGTCGTAAGCGGAGTCGTAAGAGCGCTTATGACCGAGTGAAAATCAAAAATCGGAGTCGTAAGCGGAGTCATAAGCGCGACGGAATCGGAGTCAGAAGAATCAGAACGTTTCCATTTTCTTCCGACTCCGCTTACTCCGCTTACTCCGTCGCTTACGTTCCGCTTATGATCTAGTGAAAACTAGATTGTCGGAGTCGGAAGCAGAAGCGGAAGGATAAGCCAATCAGAATGCACGTTCCCACGCTTTGTGATTGGTTTGGTTCTTCTGCTTCTGCTTCCGACTCCGACAATCTGGTTTTCACTAGATCATAAGCGGAACGTAAGCGATGAAGTCGTAAGTGGAATCGGAACGCTGTTTTCACTAGATCATAAGCTCTACGCTTCTGATTATGACTCCGACTCCGACTCCGACTCCGTCGCTAGTGAAAACCAGCCTTTAGGCTGCAAGAAGCAAATCTTTATTTGAGCAAAAATGACAAGTGTTATTATATCTTAATGCTTAAATTTACACCGAGGTGACCAATCAAATTTGAGGATTGATTCTTTTTAGCACTCTTTTTCTGCCCCGGCACTCGTGTCTTGCGAACCATGAGCGTCGATCGTTTTGTCGGAGCGCGCGAGAGAGATACTTTGAAAAGCTACGCTTGAAATTTGGAAGCAAAAATAATAGCGGGTGAGATTTGTTAAGCTCGGTAATTTGGACTGAGCAAATCGTGCATAATTTGTAATTTGACCGTTGAGGAGCAACTTAGCTGGCTTAGTAGGTAGAGAAGGACTGCCGAGAGAGAGCCCGGCCGGGTAGTACTTCCAGTCTTTTTGTGTGATAAATGATACAGGCAGGTAGATCTTCGGTGACTTTGACGTGGCACAGATGATCACTTTCACCCTTGGAAAAGTAGTACCATTGCTACTCTAGTGCTAAATGCATCAACACTTATTCGAGTAGGGTAAAACAAAATAATAATAATAATAATTTTATAATAATAACAATAAACTAATAAAAACAACATACTGTATAGCTGTATACATACGTAAGCCTCCGTGAGTTTTGCCCGAACTTAGTTATTTTGGATATTGATATAAGG